TAAAAGGATAGGCACACATTAAAAGAACATGTATGAAGAGAAAAGAAGTAGAAATATTGAGTACAGAATTTATGGAAAATGAAATAGGGGATAGTGAAAAGATAATAGTTGTACCAATAAAGGAGAATATTGAAATGAGGGATCCTTGGTGCTCTCTGAGCTTGGTTGTATTTATGCAGACTTTTGATTACCCAAACTAGACAACATCATCAGTGCTATCACTGATATAGCATATCAATATATCACATGTGCCACTGTGACGCCATGAGTTTGACAGCCCTGGTCTACAGCATATATATAATTACCCTATTGGGGAGAAGGACAGCATATAAATTTAATATTAAAATAAATTTTGTTTGTCATAGCAGACAACCAGATGCCTTTCAGCTGTTCAAACAAGGAGTGCTAGATTTACTTTTTTTTCCTCAATGATGTCCTCCTGCAAAAAGTATTTGGAAAGGTACTGTCCCCAACCAAAAAGTAAACCTGAGTTTTCAAGACTGATAGCTCTTCATTATTCTGTTGTGCATTAATTTAGCCAATCCCTTTTTAAGCCACCCCATAGCTTGTACTAATTTACTTACATAGGAAATTTATACAACTCCACTACCACTTCAAGCAAATAATTGTAGATGACTAATAATATAAACCAATAAATACAATTAAAAACAGACATAATGAATACAGTACAGACCCATTATATAGTATATAGGAAAGCACATATCTTTGCTTTTATTTTAATTAGTAACTTTGTTTTCTTCTTTTTTTTATAAATTCTTCCACTTAAATGATAGCCCTTATATTACATTTCTACAGCATCTTGAATATTATCTACACAGTCATTTGTATTGGACTCTGCTAACAAGGATAAGCCAAGTTTTTACAGCCTTCCAGAAGTATAAGAAGGTTGGAGCTGTCTGCATTTTTGGATTTCCAGGGAAGACACTGCACTAAGGGCATTCAGAACATACCCATCATGTGTTTTTCAAAGGCAGCCCCTGTTATAATGGACCACATTATAATAATCAAGATAAGAAGAGACAAAGATATGATGACTGTAAATTGATGTGAATTCATCACCAAAGAATTTATCACTTCTACAGGAACTTCTCCCACATCCTGCAAACAATACTCTCCTTGTCAAGATCCTTATTCTTTTTAAAGGCAAAGGAGCTATTATGCTGGGAGTAGCACTAAGTACTACTTTTGCCTAGAACAGGTGAGTCAAACACGCAGGCCATGCCCACCCCAGCTCTGCAAAGAGGAAAGCATTGTGATACATCATGTGAAGGCATGGCAGCATGAATTTGACACCTGTGGCCCAGAAGATCTCTCTTAATACCTCTTTGACTATCTCCAGTACAGCAATCTTGGATTTCAAGAAATTGACTTGATCTCTGAGAGTCAGGAGTTCACTGCACTGAATATAAACCCACAATCCCTTTTCAACTGATAGAAAACCAGACAACATACACATTATATAATATACCAGAAAGCACATCTTCCTTGATTTCATTTTAGTTATTAGTGACTTGGTCTCCTTCTTTATCAATTCTTCCACTTAAATGATAGTCCTTATTTTATATTTTTACTGAAAGTGAGCCATGAATTTCCCACACAATTGTTAACCCTCCTTAAATAATTTAAGTATAATGCTAATCTGTAGAAAACAGAGGTCATTGTGTATCATTCTCATAAGATTCTTCCTGTATGTTTGCCATCTTGGTCACAAACTCTGAAATGCCACAATTTGTAACAAGTGTAGAAGAATAAACAATCTGTAAAAATTGTAAACAACAATCTGTTTTCCCACTAGGTCACAAACTCTCTACTAAAAAGTGCTCCTTGGGATTAAACTAGCTGAAGTAATGCTACTCCATCCACTAGTTCATAATCTGAGAAATGATCCATCTAAATCTTAAAATCTTCAGTTCAAACGTGTTCCCAGAAAACAAACAGATACATCCCACTGAGTCATAAAGACCTAATAATATCCAATTATTCAAATAACCCTCCTTAAATAACTCCCCCAATTTTTCAATTTCTTCACAAATCTCCCCTATTCTTATTTTCTGTTTGCTGATTCTAGCTATCAGCTTCCAAGGCATAAAATAATCTGGAGTTTGGTAACATCTTTTCAGATTAACAAAGTTTATTTTATTAAGTTTTTATGAGCCATAGCTCACTTCATCAGGTGCACAGACTGCAGGATTCCAATTGGGATGATATAGGGGGAAGGGAAAGGAAGAGAGGTGATTAATGCAGGTACAGATTACACATAATTGCAAGTACCTTATTAATAACGGTAATGTCTTTAAAAATGTGCTTTTAAAGACCTGAAATAGCTGAAACTATCTGAAGACCTGAAACTAAAGATCTCAACTATTACAGAAAGTCTTAACAAACATGAAGAATTTTAAGAAGTTACAATAAAGTGGTTATTGTAAAAGTAAGGGTAAAGTTTTCCCATGTCCTGTCATGTCCATCTCAAAGTAGCAGTGCTGATCTCTGTTCTTACCGAAGGAACCAGCATTGTCTGAAGACATTTCTGTGATCATGTGGCCAGCATGAGTGTACTCCAAGGTGCATGGAATGCTGTTACTTTCCCAACAAAGTACCTATTTATCTACTTGCATTTGCATGCTTTAGAAGTGCTAGGTGGGCAGGAACTGGGGTAAGTAACAGGAGCTCATCCTGTTACATGGCACTCAAGTCTCGAACCCAGGCATTCTGCTTTCCAGCTGACAAGCTCAGTGTCTTTTAACCGCTGAACCATCATGTACCCAGTCCATGTAACCAGCATTTCTTTTTAATAAAAATGTGTTAGTCTGAAAAGATGCTATCAAACTCCTACTAATTTAGGGGTACCATATAAACTAACAAGGCTATCAAAATATGTAGGAAAAACTCTTTCCAGTCTCATTCCTTTAGTATCCACAATTTAATACACTATTTCCACAACTTACCAACTCTCTTGCTTCTTCCAGCTGCTTTTCCACACTTGAAACCAACTGTCTCTTCTCATCTAAAACAAAATAATAGATGCTTAGTTGAATAATATTTCAATTCTCAGAGCCATACTTAGTAACAACTTGGCAGTATTGAAATCTGGCCAATTTTGCCAGAACTTGGAAGCAAAAGATTGAGTTAAGGTAGTATTTTGTGGAAGACCTACATAAAATTGCAGTTATAGGCTGAGACTGGGAAATTGACAGACATTCCAAAACAAAGCCATGGCAAGTGATACTGTTGATAAGAAAATTGCATGGTTGTACTATTTCCGGAAAATTGCCCAGATATATCTATGAAGCCACCAGAAAGCTGCAAGTTTAAGGACAAAATGAAGGCATCTCTCCTTTAGTACATATTTCATATTTTGCTCTAGAACTGTTAATCGTGCATTTGGCAAGACAGTCTGTGATGGCACTGTTGCTCACTTTGAATCTTTACCTTATACTCTATTCCTGAAGCACAGATTTCTATTCATGCAAAGTAACACTCTAATCATGAAAGGACATTGGAATAAAAAATAACAAAGCGATCAAAACTTCAAAATAAAGGATATAACACAGAATAGTTTCAAACATGTTCTAAAATCCTATTTTTTTCCTACACTATGCCCGGTTTCAACCAATGTGTGTTTGGTCTCAAGTGCTGTGTAAATACATTGCCTCTAAGGAGGTTCATGGAGTGTAACTTCAAAATCCAAAGTTTTTCACAAGAAACTATCCTATCCAGTTCAACTCCTATAATATCTCAGATTAGGCTGAGTCATAGGATCTGCAACCTTAGCTAAATCAGAGCAAGACACTCCACAGCAATGGTGGGATTCAAATTTTTTTACTTCCGGTTCTGTGGGCTTAGTGGGCGTGGCAGGGGAAGGATACTGTAAAATCTCCAGTCAGAAATGGGATTTGCCAGTTCTCTGAACTACTCAAAATTACCGCTACCGGTGCTCCAGAACTGGTCAGAACCAGCTGAATACCACCTCTGCACTACAGGGGATGAAAGATAAGGCCATCCCAGGAAGCCATCTCACTTATCATCTGAGGAGGAGCCATCCTCCTTGGTAGGCATCCCATATTATCTCGACTGTGAAAAACAGAATCCTGGGGTTCAAAGATCATTGGGTCCAATCAGCAGGGTTGTATACAGAGATTCTCAATCACCCAGGTCATGGTCATCCAAGAAAGTCCAGTTGCCTCTTGAAAAATGCACCTTTGCGACGACCAGCAGGATTCTTCCTACCTAGACGATCAGGCTAACTATATCTTCGAGGCACGAAAGGACCACAGTCGTGATAGACAGCAGGTCGTGACATCGGCTGGGGTGATGCAGTAGACTGGCCAGGGCTGCCACCCACCACCCATTACTCACCTCCAACCAACTTGGGGATTTTTCCGATGCGGTTCGTGAGCTCAGCGGTAAGAACCGAAAAGTCTTGTTCGTAGCCCTCGAAATCAGAGGACATAATAGCGGCGGTGGCGGCAGCAGCAAGAAGAAGAAAAACAACAACAACTGGACCTGAATGTCCAAACAGCCAAACTGCCCGCCGTTGACGGAAGCAGAGGAAGACGTTCTCGCCTTTAGCGAGCCGCCGAAACACCAAAACTCTCAACTATAGCCGCTATTACGTTCCTCCTGTCATCACCGGAGACTTCCGGATTGAGTCCCACGAACAAGGTCTTCCCGGGTGTTTCTGACGCGAGCCGAGGTTCCGCTCTCCTATGTGCCCCCGTCCCACAGACCTCCCCGGACCTTTTCCTGACTGACGCCGTGTGGTCGACGACCTTCACCGGGTTATCTTTTCGAGCAAGGCAAGGGGGATAGAAAGAGGCAGGACGACCGTCCGCCGGGGTTTCGCTGCTAAGAAAATAAGAATTCTGCGGGCCGGAGAAGGGTTTTTGGATTGAAACCTCTTTTTTTTATCCGCAATGTGGGGGAAATGTTTCCCCAGGACACTTGCCAGCCTATTGAGGGCATTTCCAAAGTCAGGGCGGAACGGAAGGATTGCATATCCGGGTTCTATGAAGGTGTCCCGGGGAAGTAGAGCACGGGGCCGCTTGAAAGAGCGGTAAATAAAGGCGGACAACCGGGAATCCCTGGCTGGCTCTGCCTGAAGAACAAGGCAGCAGGGGAAACCCGAGACAAAGCAGGCTGGGGTTCATCGCTGGTAAGCCGCGATGTCCTGCTTTGACTGCAGTCGCAGAGACATCGGAACTTTCCGTTCGAAGCCAAAGGGATTATTGCAGATCCTTCTCTCCCTTCTCCCAATCTAAGCGTAGAAAGGATGGGGAGAGGCTGTGCCTTGATCAGCCTTTGCTTTTACTTTGCCTGCTGAGTCTTCGCCAGTCCCCTATTGCACATTGAAAGGTGGAAGAGGGTTTTTGTTTTTTTGTTTCCCTGTCCTTAAAATGGCGAGGAATAGGCAAAGGAGCAGACGTAGCACGCGCTTCACCTGTTGAACTACTTGCCTGTTGCGCCCTCCTTGGACTTCGGTGTACGTAGAGAAGGGAGGAACTAACTCCGTGCTGTCATTTTGTATTGCGATGCTCAAAGCACAGAGATGCTTTTTTCTGAGCTAATGAGCAGGGAAGGATTTCACTCCCTGGGATCTTTGTTGTTTCAATTAATTACTTATATAAGTGTTCTGCAAAAATTAATTTCATGTGGAAAAGTTGCAAGGTTTTATTGCAAATATTTATTTATTTATTTGTGGTCGTAGAGCAGTAATGAAGTAGAATTGACCAAAGCAAAGTTATTTAAATACAAGTAATCTTCAACCTATGACTCCAATTGAACCCAAAATTTCTGTGGCTAAGTGAGACATTTGTTAAGTGAGTTTTGACCCTTTTTATGACCTTTACTGCCACAGTTGTAAAGTGAATCACTGCAGCTGTTAAGTTAGTGAAATGGTTGCCATGTGAATCTGGTGCCCCTATGGTCTTTGTTTGTCGAAAGATTGCAAAAGGTAAAACTCTGGGACACTGAAACTGTCATAAATATGAATCAATTACCAAGCATCTGAATTTTGTTCATGTAACCATGGGGATGCTGCAGTGGTTGTTAAGTGTGAAAAAATGGTTGTTAGTCATTTTTTGCAGCATTGTTGTAGCTTCAAATTGTCACTAAATGAACTGTAGTAAGTTGAAGGCTACTTGTACTCCTAGAAAGGTATAGCAAATAGTTATATCTCCCAGCAGTACTTGTGACACGGAGACCATAAGTTATTCTACTGTTCTTGAACTTACTTGGAATGTCATTGAATTATCAATCTCTTTGCTAACTCGGAAATAGTTGGCTTTCTTTTGAAACTTGGCTCAAAGCTCATGAACTAATTAGGGCATCCATAGAAACCCTGAAACTGTAGGTGAAAGAGGCTGAAAGAAATACTTTGGATTTTTTCATTATTAGTTAATGATGGACTACCAGATTGTTGTCTCCTTTGTTAAAAATCAAACATTTTTGTTGCGGAAAGCTGTCCACATTTTCAGATGCTAAATAGATACTTGATTACTTTATTAAATTTTTTTCCAGGAAAAAGAAAGAAATTGCCTAACTATACAAAATAGCAACTTCTGCTAGCTCAGGCAATTTCCCACATGAAGTGCTAACTTCATTGCAGTATCACAAACACTTTTTAAAGTTTTCTCCTGCTGTGTGACATATACATTAAGACAAATCATATCTAAATTCTTACTTGCATTTGAAATGAGTTCTTGGGCTGTTTCCTAGAACAGTGGTCTCCAACCAGCTGGCCGGGGACCACTGGCGGTCACAAGAAAATGTTAGTGGTCCGCAGAGAAATGTTACCACCAAAGCAATTAATCCAGGGTGCGCGGGAACACAAGGCTGTGCCGCCCACATAGCCCGCAGGAACGGCTTGCGTCGCTTGCATTGCGAACAACACCGGGTAGTGAGGGGAGGGGGGAAAGGGCAGAGGGGTGGGAATGCGCCCCACACACCTCTCCTGTCCACCGGGCTGATTCTTTCCACTTCTTTCTTCTTCTGCTTTTGACTGCATGCAAGGAAAGCAGCAAAAGTCTTTCTTTCTTTCCCCCAAACTCTGCCAGAAATGAGTCTTTGGGACCCTGCAAGTTATCCTGCTCCAAGAGGCTGCGCAGGCAAAGACTCATTTCTGGGGGAGTTTGGGGGAGAGAAAGAAAGACTTCTGCTTCTGCTGCTCTCCTTGCATGAAGCCAAAAGTCTCTCTCCCCCCCACCCCCGAGAACCAAGCTGGAGACGGTATCCTGCAATTCCAAATAAAGAATTTTTCTGCAGACTCTTTTGGAGATTTTCCCAGGGTCTCTGGTCTGTGGGATTTAAAATTATGAGTTTGGTGGTCCCTGAGGTCCAAAAGGTTGGCGACCCCTATCCTAGAATGAGGAACTGATGCTTCACTGAATAGTATTTGAAAAATGACATTTAAAATTATTTCTTCAGGATTCGCTTCATAAACCATGTTTGCCTCATTTTCCTGCACTAAACAAAATAATTAACTAAATGGTTCACATTGGATTGAAAAGGTATAATCTTGTTAATATTTACCAGTTATTCTAACTTGTAACAAACTTGGAATCAATTTTTCAATTCAGATATCAGCGGACTTTTTAAAAGAAAAATGCACACACACGTACATACACAATGAGGATCTGAGTCAAACTTAGGACTATGATAGAGAGAGGAAACAGGGAGTAAGATGTTCTACAGCCCATTTTATGCCAGTGAACCATGGTCTGTTGCTACAAATCAATTTGTTTCTAATAAAAATGTTTATTTTGTAGTTGCTGTGGTTGGAAATGATGTTCTTTTTTTTTGCTCAGATTTTAAAAGAAAACTCATGAAGAATTCCTGTGGTTGATGATTCCTTCAAATATGAAGAATGGCTTAAATCCAGCTACTTCAAAATTAGTGTTTGGACATCTTACCATTCATCTTATCAGAGATGAAAATTTATGACAAGTGGAAATGTTTTCCTGAAAGAAATCGTATGAAATAAGAATCAACTTGAATGCAGTATGGGAACATTTTGTTCAATCATTAGATTTGAAAATCTCTATGAACTGAAAAGACTATGCCACTGGGGACCAATCATAGCACTTAGTGTAATAGCAATATGTTCTGCCATGGCTATCATCGATGCAGTCCTGTGGTACTGGCCTTTGGATACAACAGGAGGAAGTATTAATTTCATCATGCTCATCAATTGGACTATTATGATCCTTTATAACTACTTCAATGCCATGTTTGTTGGCCCTGGATATGTTCCTGTTGGATGGAAACCAGTAAGCAAATAACAATGTGGTATATCCACCCTCCCTTTAAAATAATATTTCACTCCGTAGCATCCTAATGTTATGTTAGGCAATTGCTTAGGAAATCTAAATTTTGGATCTGCAGCATAAAAGCAAAATGGGAGCCAGTGGAAAATTAAACTATGCACTTTTGTGGATACTTGCTGAATACATAAATGCCATTACATATTTAAAACTATAGTCTTCCTCCTACCAGATACATAAATATATATCTATACGTATATATACCGTATATACTGTTTTGTTTTTAGGAAAATTCTCAGGACTGCATGTATCTTCAATACTGTAAAATATGCCAATCTTACAAAGCACCACGTTCACATCACTGCCGAAAATGTAACAGGTACTATTGCTGATAAATACTTTTCATTGGGTAGAGTTAATATTTATTTACTCATGTTATAATAACACACACACACACACACACTTAAATCATTTCATAGATTTTATGGAATGTGAAAATAAAACCCATGTCATATTCCTTATGTTACACTTACAGCTTTTTTGCTGTATCGATATTGTCTGAAATCAACACTTTGTTTAGACATCAAGATATATTTGTTGAATAAGACTAGGGATGGCTGCTGGTCACTATGCTTGTATTAAACTTGGATTTGCTTCTTAGGTGTGTGATGAAGATGGACCACCACTGTCCATGGATTAATAACTGCTGTGGATTTCAGAATCATGCCTCATTTACACTCTTTCTTCTCCTAGCCCCTCTGGGCTGTATTCACGCTGCTTTTATTTTTGTCATGACCATGTATACTCAGCTTTATAACAGGGTAAGAAAACACTGTTTTGCTTTTTTTATACGCAGAATTCTATGACTTCGCTTTTGGAAAAACAGTCTTCATAATTCTACCTTACCTTATACTTTCTGTAGTTAAAATTACATTTTTGTCTGCTGTCTTCATACTGACAATCTGGAACTTTTGAAGGTTGTAACTTTTGCTTCATATCCTTTATACTTTCTTCATCTAGCCCAGAAGTAGTTATTCCTCCACACATACAATATATTTCATGAACCTAATTTAAAGTCCAGAGTCACCTTATAGGGGAGATGGGTGGCATAAAAAATTAATTAAATAAGTGATTAATCAGAAAGGAGACTATGCCTTAAAGATAAGGAAAGTACATTTCTTCAGAAATTGCACTCTATACTACGTTTTGTCACTGATAATAGATTGTGGATAATGTCATTCAATAAGTTGGTTATTCTATTAAAGCATCCTATAAAATTAGGAACCACTGAAAAATATACCAAATTAAAGAACATTCACTGTTTCCTTTCAGAATGCTTGGCTTTAAATTCAAAGTTACCTATAAGTCTGGTACATTCAGTATGTTTGTCATTTATTCATGTCTAACAAATCACATTTCCAATAAATCAGATACTGTATGTCCTTCAGGTAAGATATAATTTTTGGCTTAGGTATAACCTATGGGAACAACTCTGATTGCAGTTTGAACTTCTACTGATAGTTAAGATCAGAAAATTTTTGCTGAGGAAGAACTGAATGTTGTTCAGCTGGACGCTTACCAGTTTTCTTCTCCTTTGTTTCTTTTTAATAGGTCTCTTTTGGCTGGAGTTCTGTGAAAATCGATATGAGTGCAGCCAGGAGGGATCCGCGCCCAATAATTCCTTTTGAGTTGTCTGCATTTGCTGCCTCCTTATTTGCCCTGGGGTTGGCATTAGGTACTACACTAGCTGTTGGAATGTTGTTTGTTATCCAGGTGAGTCAGATACAAAGATGAGACGTTCTGACGAAATGTTCCGGTGCTCAAAGGGTGGAGACAGTTCTCAGTGCCTTATAGCATCTTATTTTCTCTTCTGAACTGTTTTAAATATCCAATCAGCAATTTGAATTTTCAGTCTATCTCCAGTGTACTTCATAATCATTATCACACAGCATTATGATTAGGGAAGCCTGTAGGGGATAGAGATAGAGTCTTTCCACAGATGCTCAGTTGTGCAATAGAGGAAAGACAAGCTTTCTTTATATAAATGGGAAGTATCTGTAGTTAAACTTCAGAACTCTTTATTACCAGCAGCTTTTTTCGGTTACAGATGTTTGTCAGTAACAAAGTCTTAATGCATATATGTATTTGTGGGTGTGAGAGAAAGAAAGAGGGAGAAGTTAAGATGTAGACATCAACTAGGATCCTTTTGGAATGTGTGATCCAGTTCAAAGAAGTGAAAACAAATTTGTACCAAGATTCTTTTGTTTTGTTTTTTGAATTACTAAAAGTTAGTGCATATGTCTGTACAAAATTACAAATGTTCCTTTTTTGATCTACGCTATGAATCAATTCAGTGATTTCAGTTTTAATTTGAAGGGATAATTTAATCAAACTGTTTCACATGGCCCTAATGTAGACATGTTAATGTATGAGTATGTTGTCCTATTAGCTAAGACATTTCTGCCATTCTGTATTACTTGCAATATGTAACAGCCCTCTGTTTCTTTAATATATTTTAATATTAATATAAATTTTTAATATCACTTTTAAAAGTTTTGGCATGCTACTTAAGACTTCAGTATTACTGTTCACACCAACAGATCTCCTACTTCTACTATTAAAAAAACCTTTCATGGACATGTGCGTGCTATGCTTGATTGGCAGCTGAGATTTTTGCTCTATTGTAGTTGAAGCAGCTATATAGATTGGACTTCGTGTATTCATAGTAGAACTGGATTTTCCTTTTCCTTTTTTATATATTTATCCCTATTCTTTTCAAATGAAAATCTCAGCAAAGGAAGGAGAACAGTGTTAAGGAAAGGGAGACATTTAATAAGGTAGTAAAATGACAATGATTCCTTTTGTCCCTTTGTTATGTTTTTGTAAATCTACATTGTTTTGGTACAATGTTATCTATACACTAATAATTGAAGATTATTGACACTATTGTTAAGATGACTTAGGTTGCAAATAGAGAAAAGAGAAAGAAGTATTCTATCAATATTAATTACAATGTAGGCTATCAATATTGCAAGCATAATATTTGACTTTTCATCCAGACATACATTAAAGAAGAAAAACTCTCTGCAGAACGTATCAGAGTATTTGTTGTACTCAGTTTCAGTCTTGTACTGATTGTTTAGTATTTTGTTGTGTTACTTAATATATACTGTCTCTTTCTCTTTGTATGTGTCCATATATCATATTCTTAGATAGAAAGGCAAAGCAAATTTAAGAATTAAAATGCCAAGAAAGAAAAAAGCTATTGAGTGTTTAACTTCTCTTTTTTTTTTTTACATCTGCTAATTTTCAGTATTTGTAAATATTTAGGCCTCCTTAGAAACCAGACTGTAAGTGATCATATTTGGCATGTTGTTGAATGTATTGTGCGGGGAGTTGATTTTATTTAAATATGATTAAATTTTTATTTTGAAATGTATTGCTAGTTTTACCATTGTTACATATTTTCCAAGTTTAAGTTTCCAGTCAGATATTTTTGGAATTGTATCTTTTTTTCAGTGTTGAACAAAATTTATTCTCACTGTTGTGTGTATATAACTCATTAAATTATTTTTGTTTATTTTGGGGGGGAGTTATATACCTAATAAAAAAGTTGTAATTTCATTTAAAATTATTCTTATCATTTCCTTAAGTTAAAACAAATTTTGAGAATTATATGTATAAATTCTGAATCTGCTGTTCCAGAAAAACAAAAAAATTACATTACCAAGATTTTCTTCTAGTAGCAGCTTCTTGTGCATCACTACAGGAGAAAGGCATTCTGTTTATGTTTGAAAGAAATAGTATGGGAGGAAAGGATTTTCCTGGTGTAACAAACAAAAGGAAGGATGTGATGGTTTACTTTAGGTTCAGATGTTCAGATTCACAATATTAAATAGAGGATAGATTAATGAAATCTTAAGATTCCTTATAATTTAACCAAAAGGCATGGAATGATAGAATAATAGGAAGATGTGTGTTTGTTACAAATTCAAAACTTTCCAGATCACTCCCTGAGATTTTCACTCTCAAAAATTAAAGTAAAACTAAACACCACTGCATCTATGGAAATGTTAGGTTTTTTTCATTTATGCTTATTTGCTATGCTATTTATGATTTCAAGACTTTGATTGTTGGTGGGTTCAGCTAGTTTAGGTGTAAAAAACAAAAAGAACAATGGATGCATGGAATGGATAGAAGAATTATCCTTGAGTGTACTGAATCCAGAAATACTGTTTACTTGTTTATATACAAAGACTTTTACATTGTATTGGTTCATTCATTCAAATTCTAAACAGTACTATTAAGACTCCCTGTTTTCTATTTTTTGATCTAGTGTTCTGAATACGATTTCTGTGAAATGTGCTTCTATTTGCCCACTTCATACATTGTAGTCATGATCTTTGTAACTTTTTTTAGATGAAAATCATTTTAAGAAATAAAACTTCAATAGAATCATGGATTGAAGAAAAGGTAAAAAGTAATTATTCATAAACAGATATTGTGCCACAAAGGCAGTAGTCTGTAGTAGATTTGTACCATTTCCTGTTTATGTGACTTAATTAAACCAGGATCTTTTACTGCCTTTTCACACATTTTCTAAACTCTTCCATACAAGAAGAATCTAGCACATGTGGTCACTATTGCCCTTTAAATGTTGGGTTTAAGCCAATTTGAACATTATTTAAATTATTCATTTGTCGTGGCTCATAATAAATCTGCCCTTTTGTCATTCTTAAATTCATATTTATATGTTTGGCAATTACCGCAGCTCAGTTTCATCTAAGCTTCTGTATCCCAAGAAGCTACTCACTAGAGAGGAAGACTTGATGGAAGATAATTTTGCCAATTAAATGGCCCTTCTGATATTTAGATGTGGAAATCACAAAAGTGTTTTTTTTAAAGACTTTATTTCACTATATAATTTCCTTCATTCTGATTTAGCGTGTTGAATTAATCCAGCTATTGTTATATGGCAATAACCATTTATAATTCCACATATTTTGCAAATGTAACCAATTTTAGTTTATTCAATAAGTCATGGTTAAACAAACAATGGTTTTGCATAAGAAATGGTTTCTGGATATTTTTGCTGGTAAGGCCTCTCCATTCCATTGTACATGTAGAAACTCAAAAAGAGAATTGTCTCCCTGTACCTTCAGGGGAGAACTGTAACAACTGTAACGACTACTGACATGACTTAACACCTCCCACATCCATTCTGAGAATAATGGGAGAAATAATTCCAGAAATAAATTTTAATGTGTAATATCTTTGGATCAGTAGAGGTCAGTATACAGTAAAAAACTTCAAGGAATTATGTGAAGCAGCACAGTGCTTTTAAGAAATAGTGAAAGATTATGAAATCAAAAATTTAATTTATCGCAAAGGAAGGTAATTTCAACTATTTTTATTTAATAGTTCTGAAATAGAACTGTCTCTTTTTAGTACTCAATATAAATTGAACTAATAATATTTTGACCTAATTCAATCCTGAAGAATATATGATTTTAAAAGTTGCCACTGTATTTAAATAACAAGTTAAAAGCATGCCATCTCATATCACACTTAGCAAAAGGTCACGGTTCTGATTATATAGATTATATAGAGGTGTCTTGCTCCCTCTGTCCCTATTTGCAGCTACTGTTCTAGCAATAGAAAATAAGTATCAAATAGTATAGCAATCTGCAGTGAGGGAAAAAAATCCCTTTGTCTTGCATGTGGCTGTGGGTCCTGGGTTATCTTAGTTAAACTTTTCTCATTTTTTACTACAACAATCACACATTTAAATGTTGGATGACATGAAAGTCCATGTTAAAAATCTAATATATTCATGTAATTGAGAGGTAGGGTTTTTTTGTTGTCAACTGTATTTGTGTATATTCCTTGCAGGCCAAAGACCGCATTCAGTATTATCAAACAAAAGAAGACTTTGTATTTCCTTATGACCTGGGAAGCAAATGGGATAACTTCAAGCAAGTCTTTACATGGTCTGGAAATCCAGAGGGAGACGGCTTGGAATGGCCTATAAGAGAAGGCTGCCATCAATACAGTTTAACAGTATGCTGTTTTCCCTTGTTTTTCCTTTTGCACTGCTACAATTAAACGTGAAGTAAACACATTGAAAAATTGGCTTTACTAAAATGCTGCTTTATATCTTTCAGATTGAGCAGTTAAAACAGAAAGCTGACAAGAGAGTGCGAAGTGTAAGTGATCAGCAATTAATCACATTGCTGTCTGTATTGCTATAGTGAACTTAGCATAATATTGTTGTGATAATTAAGAGCTGCATGGTTTCATGTTACATTTTAGAACACGATGTTGGGTAAAGCAGTAAACTAATAATTATGGCATAAAGTATTGTTATTTCTATAGATGAATTGTAGTTTATTTATCATAAGATGTGTGTGATGTTATGAGTGTCTTTATTCAATGAGAAGAAAGAGGCAAGAAAGAGGAATCCAAAAGAGAAGAAATTCTAAATAACTGCTTATGAGTTGAAAATTTCTGTGTTGAAAATTTTAATTGATTCTGTTTTAATTAGCCATTAACCTATCCGTTAGGGAATGCATTAAAAATGCTGAACAAATACTTCCCTTAGACATATCTCCTGAAGTCTTAGAATCCCAGTAACATTTCCTGACAAAAAGTATAATTTTTCTCTATATAGGTAATACCAATCCTTTGACTAAACTAATGTCTTACAAAATGGAACCCAATAAATTAGACTTATATCAAACAATTAGATCAATAGTTCATTTTTACACTACAGACCATGACTTCTCTTGTAAACAGCTGCTTTCCAGTTGGTCAAATCTGTCAAACAAACGTGAGGAGCCATTTTCTTGTAGAGCTTTATATTTTTATAAATTCTGGATAGTTATAGTTTTCTACTCTAATTATATAACCAGTAATTCTTTTTGGTGTCTTGGAGTCTTGCCTCTTTGTGGGCAAGATTTCAGAAGTAGTTTGCCATTGCCTCCTTCTTAAAGCTGAGACAACAACTGGCTTTGTGACTAAAGTGGGCTAGAAGACATGATCTCATTTTCTAGCCTGCTGCCCTAACCACTACACCAAACTGGCTCTCTGGAAATTCATAGTTTATCTTTGAGAAAATAGGTGCGGACAGATAACTAAATAAGATTTTAATGCTCCACAAATATTTTATTTTTGAAACATTGAGTCTGTATACATAATTTTATTTTATTTTTTTAAAAATAAAATTATGTTCACGCACTCCAAACATGGTATCTTGTTACATTGTCGTTTTCTGAGAATGGGAGCGTGCATAAGCACACCAATGTGCCTACCGTCCCTGTCCTATTGTTTCTTTTATATATTTTTTAATTTTTTTTATATGTATCCATGTATTCATAACTATATTTTTACTTATACCTGTTATCTTGTAGGCAATTGACAAATAAAAATAAATAAATAAAAATGTGATGTCTAAGAGACATAATGGCTTTTTAAACACCCCAAATTTCTCTATAACCCTAACCCCTGCTTCCTATTTGACTGCTCAAAATTCTTCTAAAACATCCCTTTATCACTTCATGTATTTCCTTCATCATGCAAACACTTTAATTATTTCTGAAATGTAGAGACCCCTAAACCCAATGGTACTATGGTTTCCTGAAGAACAGCAACTATTGTTTACAATGGCTCATACATAAGGAGACTACACATAAGAACTGTTTCCTTATATGTATTTGTTTCTATTTATTTGATTTGAATATTCTTCTACTTGCACAAAGAAAAGTTGCTATGATCAAGAGCACCTTATTATGCAAATGCAGGATCTAAGCATAGACTTTTACTATAAGATTGTGAAATGGAGGTGGAAGGGCAGATGAAAACTGAAAACCTACACTAAATGTCAAAATAATGTATTATTAGAGGGTGACAACTGTTAGAAAAAAATTGGCATCTAAAAAAAGTGAAGGTGATTTATATAATTCCAGCCCCTCATTAATATATTTTATTTTTATATCTCTATTTTATTTAAACATCAAACATTGAAATACAAATTAACATAAACAAAACAGGGAAAGGGAGTAATCAAACAAATTGAAAGTGAAATATATATATAAAGTAAATATAACAGCCACCTCTCCCTTTTAAACAAATAACACCAGTTTATAAAATATCTTTAAAAATAGCCAACTTACTAAAAAAACCAGCAGTCATAGAATATTAATGTCATCTAAAAGATAATAAACTATAAAACATAAATAAACTTCTATTTTAAAAGCTATAATATTTCTCTAGGTAATCTAGTCTAATCTTCAAAACCCAAAGCTTGGTTTTCTTCTTGAAAGTAATCTAACGATGGCCTCCATGTTGCATGAAATTTAGTCTCCAAGCAAAGCAGTCAGTTCTAGCATCTTGACTAGGTCCATTAATTTCAAAATCCTTTCTTTCATTGTTGGTATATATTATTTCCATCTTTGGGCTTTTAACATAATTGCTTGCCAATGTCATATATTTAAAAAAAGTCTCAAAAATTTATGAACCAACAAAAATATCTCATTCTAAAATTTCTTAGCCTTCGTACAATTTTATAATTAATTGTTTGTAATCAGCAAATTTATCTTAAGCAACTTTTTTTTTAATTCAAATTTTCCAGGTACGGTACCAAGCAATAGAAGACTATAATGGTGCCTGTTGCCCTGTTACAAAAGGTATAAGGACTTTCTGTACAACTCCATGCACTGAAGAGCCTAGAATTGTCCTTCACAAGGGAGACCACATTTTAGCCACCCGAGGACTGAAGTTAGTATCTCTATAATGTGATTACTTCAAACTTTTAAAAACATGCTGTCTGTTTAATTCTTTATTCTTTTTTTTTTTTTTTTGGCATTGGATGTATGGCGACAAAATTACTGACCTGCCAACGAATGGTAATTATCTTGTTTCAAAGTTAGACTATCTTATTTCAATTTTCTAATAATAATTTAAATGCATATTACTATTACCAAATAGCTAATTTGTGCATTTTCCGGCATTTTAGAATTTAAGTATTATAAAAGTGCAACTAGAAAATAAATTCAAATGGCCAGATTAAATAATTAAGAATGCAGTTTTAAACATATTTTCTTGGAGATGAGCTCCAACTTATATCAGGGAGATATACTTCAACTTTGACATCTGTAGATTTGTGCTATTAGGAACTTCATTTATTTTCAAGTTGTTAAAACAAGGATGGCAGACGCTATCACAGAAGAAACATTCCTTATTCTTTCATGTGCAGGACATAATGCTTCTAAATGATCTCCTACAGCAATGTGGTTAATACAGGCAAAAACTAAGTCACCTTATGAAGAAAAATTGTGAAAATTGAAAAAAGTTTCATTTTGCAGACGTTACAGTTTCTGACAAGGCTCAGAGTGCATAGTGATGGGATGGGGAGGAAAAATCTGCAAGTGCTGAGGTCTTTGATTTCTGCTGTTCTTTCTCACTGTTAGATGGAGAGAGAATCAGAGGTTGGTTCCCAAGAAAATGTGTGGAAAAATGCCTGTATGATTCTGAATCAGATCAACCGCTAGATGGAGAGAAAAAAGCAAGATAACCCTTGTGATAACTGGAAGAGTTTGCTTTGGACCACTGTCCTTCTACTTGAATATTCTGTATATATTCTTATGTATGGAACAAAGATCATATTTTGTGTGTTTGCAAGGATGGGAGCTTCAGTGCCATAATACTAATCATCTTTTGCCATTTTTAAAAGGAGGAAGCCATTCCATGGACGCTTTTTCATATTAAAGCTTTCAGAATATAGAGCACATTTGGCCTGCTTTTTTATTTAATTTTATTATATAATCTTAATAAATGTAAGAGCTACATTTTTTCCTGATATTTAAGTACTGCTCACTTAATAATATATGCTCTTCATATTTGCATTCCTCAAATTACTTTTCTATTGCCATCATGAAAGTTGAAAGGACTATTGTGAATGAATGCAGCTGAGTTGACAGCTGATGCTTTGGATTTTTTTTTAAATATGTGATTTTTATTAAACAAAAATAAAATAGAAAAGGTTATATTTAGTCTTTGGTGCATCTTTAGAGATGAATGTATTGCTGAATTTTTGCAACGAAATAAGAAAACCAGATAATAATTCACCCATGTGAACCCATGACAGAACTGTTTGGTTTTGTATAGTGTAATGGGTGACATCAAATTATTACTATATTACTTTCTCTATCCTGGAACCCTATAGATACAATGAAATGTTTTATCCAATCAGCAGGGGTGAATTATAGCACTTGCTTTCTTCCTTCCTCTGAAGGTAAAGTTCAGTCAACATCTGAACTTTCTAAGTTTTTATATACTAGTCAGGACAAGTTTCTATGAGACTCTACAGTTAAATTCAATAATCAAACATGCATGCATTAAAAAAATATGAAAACTTGAAATAGAGAAATGTAATTTGATTGCAATTCTTCTATATCTTCAAGTAGGCCACATCAAATACCAAACATCACAGGGATTCCAGGACTGCCACTTTATTGTTTAATTGAAATATATATTGAAAGCTTGTCCAAAACTTTTGCACACTCTTTTTAAAGACAATAGGCCAATGTATGGCTGTTCTTTCTACTCTTCATGTTTGATAAACCATTTTACCTTTCCCACCTCCTCAAGTTAAGAAATAAATTTCTCTACAGCAGTGCTTTTCCAATTTGATAAGTATACAAAGTATGGAGTTGTAGAATTCCCCAATAAACATAGTGGTTGGGCAATTCTAAGAATTTAAGTCCACACATCTTAAAGTTTATTGTGCTCAATAAATAAATCCTCAATTACCACTTAAGTATAAAAAGTGGCAGAAAGTCAAGAAAACTCGGGAAGCATAACTAATATTGCAGAAGACAATTCATAGAGAAGCAAATTACCAATTCTGTAAGAATTTTGACAGTACATTTCACTTGTCTGACACACATTGCCAGAACACTGGTGGCACAAACTACTATAGCTGCATCTAATTTACACTTAGGTAAAGGTAAAGGTTCCCCTCACATATACAAGCTAGTCATTTCCAGCTCTAGGGGACAGTGCTTATCACCGTTACAAAGCCGAAGAGCCAGTGCTCTCTGAAGACATCTCCATGGTCATGTAGCCAGCATGACTAAACACCGAAGGTGCACAAAATGCTGTTACCTTCCCACCAAAGTGGTCCCTATTTTTCTACTTGCATTTTTACATGCTTCGAACTGCTAGGTTGGCAGAAGCTAGAACAAGTAATGGGAGTTCACTACGTTACACGGTGCTAGAGATTCGAACCGCCGAACTGCTGACCTTTCTGATTGACAAGCTCAGTGTCTTGGCCACTGAACCACCACGTCCCTCTACACTTTATAGTTTACATTTCTAAAAAGGCTATTGGCCTGTAACTTCATGCAAAAATGAAAGTTTAGTACTTTCAGAGAAGACAGGTCAGAGAAAGTGCTGTCAATAACAGGAAATAATAAATACTATTCAAAAGTGACATTAAACAGAACTGAATTAAATAGAAAATACTTTTCAACAGTGACATTAAACAGAACTGTATCACATTAGCAATGTGAAAATGTATAGGAACAACTTTTACGAATTGCTTCAGAACAAAGCAAGATAGTTCAAGCTGTGATTTGTCATAATTGAGATAATTATGGCTTACAGCTCATGAAAACCCCAAATCCACAATCTCAGAAAATTAGAATCAATAAAACAAGAATTGTACAAAGAACAACATCAGACCTCTGAAAAGTATAAGCATGCAGATGTACTTAGTACTTGGTCTGGGCCCCTTTTACAGCAATTACTGCCTCAATGCCGTATGGCATGGAAGCTATCAGCCTGTGGCACTGCTGAGGTATTATGGAAGGCCAGGATGCTTCAATAGTGGCCTTCAGCTCTTCTGCATTGTTTGGTTTCATGTCTCTCATCTTTCTCTTGGCAATGCCCCATAGATTCTCTATGGGGTTCAGGTCAAGCAAGTTTGCTGGCCAATCAAGCACAGTAATCTCACAGTCATTGAACCAGGTTTTCGTGCTTTTGGCAGTGTGGGCAGGTGCCAAGTCCTGCTGGAAAATGAAGTCAGCATCCCCATAAAGCTTATCTGCAGAAGGAAGCATGAAGTGCTCCAAAATCTCCTGGTAGACAGCTGAGTTGACCCTGGACTTAATGAAGCACAGTGGACCAACACCAGCAAATGACATGGCTCCCCAAATCAACACAGACGGTGGAAACTTCACACTGGACTTCAAGCATCTTGCAGTGTGTGCCTCTCCATTCTTCCTCCAGACTCTGGGTCCCTGGTTTCCAAATGAGGTGCAAAAGTTGCTCTCATCAGAAAAGAGGACTTTGGACCACTGAACAACAGACCAGGTCTGTTTTTCTTTAGCCCAGATAAGATGCTTCTGACGTTGTTTGTTGTTCAGGAGTGGCTTGACAAGAGGAATACGACATTTGAAGCCCATGTCCAGGATCCATCTGTGTGTGGTGGCTCTTGATGCACTGACTCCAGCCTCAGTCTGCTCCTTGTGAAAGTCCCCAACACTTTTGAATGGCCTTTTCCTGACAATCCTCTCCAGGCTGCAGTCATCCCTGCTGCTTGTGCACCTTTTTCTTCCACACTTTTCCCTTCCACATAACTTTCTATTAATGTGCTTTGATACAGCACTTTGGGAATATCCAACTTCTTGTGCAATTACCTTTTGAGGCTTTCCCTCCTTGTGGAGGGTGTCAATGATGGTTTTCTGCACAACTGTCAGGTCAGCAGTCTTTCCCATGATTGTGCTTCCTACTAAACCAGACTGAGAGACCATTTAAAGGCCCAGGAACCCTTTGCAGGTGTTATGGCTTAATTAGATGATTAGAGTGAGCCACTTTTTTTTAAAGTTTTTTATTTTAACAACAAAACAACATAGACATACCACATAAAACATAAAAATATCATCCTTCTTGATAAATTTACAAACAGTGCATCGGTTGGTTTACCACTTTTTTTTGTGCATCCATTTCCTAGTCACTAATATAATTATATTACATAATAGCTCATATTATCAATCAATAATTATATAACCTAATATCATCACTAAAAAAATCATTTATCTATAATTTTGTTAATTCATATTTTAACGAGATAACTATAGTTTACTTAGTTTATTTTGCAATAAATCATAAGATCATACCAAATCTATCTTGATAATGTTTTATAAAGATAATATCAAAAAAAGGGAAAAAAAATTTATGCTAAATCTGAATATTCTATTATTATGTTTTATTATCTAACCATTGATAAAAAAAGATCCCAAACTTCATAAAATTGTTTATCTTCTTGTTCTCTAATTTCAAATGTCAATTTACTCATTTCAACACAATCCAATATTTTCTTAATAATTTCTTCCTCTGATGGAGTTTTCTCACTCTTCCAGTTTTTAGCAAATACAATCCTAGCTGCTGTTAATATATTTACAATCAAATACTTCAAATTTTTATTATATATATCAGGTAAGATTCCCAATAAAAAAATCTCTGGTTTCAAGTCTATATGTGTCTTTGTCATTTTTTCCAACCATATGCGAATCTTAGTCCAATATTTTCTAGCGTCCTCACAAGTCCACCACATATGGTAGTATGAGCCAGGTATCTGATGACATTTCCAGCACTTTTCAGATTTGTTCTTAAACATTCTTGCAATTCTTGTCGGGGGAAAATGCCACCTGTAAAACATCTTATAACAAGTTTTCTTTATAAGCTGTTGACATTGTCATTTTATAATTTTGAGACCACAATTTTTCCCATTTCTCCAAATCAATCCCATATCCAATATTCTTCCCCCAAACAATCATCGTTTCTTTAACTTGTTCCTCCTCTAATAAAATTTCCAACAAATAACTGTATAATTTTTTAATCACTTTTTCATCAGTACCTGTCAAGATCCTGTCTAAATCAGTCAATTTATCATAAACTCCCTCTGCTTTAGAATCTATAAGATACCTTGAATGTATTTGCGCATATGAAAACCAATTCATCTTTATGCCTTGTTGTTCTAGTTTTTGCATTGTTTTAAGTTCACTCTTTTCATCCAATATTTCCCCATATCTAACTGTTTGTTCCTTCTCATATATTATAGGATAAGAAAAGGCTTCAACAGTTGATAACCAGACTGGGATTTTCAAATAACATTTTCTCTTAATTTTCTCCCAATTCAACCATAAAGACTCCCTTATATAATGCCTTCTAAAATAGCCCTGATTTAGTTCCCTTATACCACAGAAAAGCATGCCATCCCTAGAGTGAGACACTTTGAGCCTAGAATATTGAACCTTTTCACAATATTCTAATTTTCTGAGATTGTGGATTTGGGGTTTTCATGAGCTGTAAGCCATAATCATCTCAATTATGACAAATTACAGCTTGAACTATCTTGCTTTGCACGTAATGAGTCTATCTCATATATTAGGTTCACCTTTTAAGTTGCATTACTGAAATAAATGAATTTTTGCACAATATTCTAATTTTTCGAGTTTCACCTGTATATGCAAGTTCCAATGGCTAGTAGAAACTATTGCTGTTTTCCGTGATTCAGAGCATGATGTTCAGGGTACCAAAAATTATGGCTTCAAGATGATAAAATATTGTTTTAGCCTAAATGCAGATGAGCCACCCTACAGGCCTATTTCAAGTCAACAATATGAAATGGCACTATCATGGCATTGAAAATAGCCCTTTCGTTCTGTTTACATTGTTGTCTAAATTTATTTAAAAATTTTACTACTAAAAAATTTGAGTGTTATCTTGTTAAATGTAATTCCCTTTGCTATAACAACAAA